CCCGCCCTTCCCCAAGTCGGAGGTGAGATGAAACACGTGCTCTTTGCACCTCCTTGCAGCCACCCCGCCGCACCTGTGTCACTGCAGCAGCTCCCTTCCAAAAAATACCGCAGGAAAACGCCCACACGAGGAGCGGCACGTGGTTTCGCCCACCTCCTGGCGCCGGACCACCCCGTGATCCAGGGCACGACGTACGCCCCAGATGCCAGAAGTTCAAAGCTAGATTAGATCCCGATAATGTTCTTCTCCAGCCTTAAAAAAGGGCGAGAGGAGAAGGAAGATGGAGGAGGAGCGGCAGCAAGTCAGAGGAGGAAGCTGGAGGATGGAAATTAAAGCAGGCTGTGGTTTATTTAGGCCACCCCTTCCTGCAAATCCTTGGTGTGGAGATTACACAGCAGCCTCCTCTATCTCTGCCAGCACACACCGGTTCTGGTTACCAAGAGCCAGAAGAAACCCTTAATATGAGCCCTGAGCATCCCATAATCTCAAACAAGATCCAACCCTGAGCTCAGGACTACAAACGCAAAGAGACGATGTACCCAGATGAATAAAGATATTAAATGCCAGCAGCTAATGTATAACCAGGGCTTGAACCGCATTACGCAGGCAGCCTTGTGGGACAGGACATCATATATGTACCAGGAGTGTCCCTGATACGAGGCAGATCCATATAAAACAGCAAAAACTCACCTCGGGCTGTCCTTTCTACCCGACAGCCAGCACCGCATCACCGCTGGTACCGGCAGACGCCAACCTGCTCTTCTGCCAGGACAAGGTCCAAAGGTTACCTGCCCAGCATCCCATCTGTCCCACCACTGCTGCCCGTGCCCTTTCACCGCTCAGTGATGAAATTGCTGGAGGTAACGACATTTGGGCAGAGCTTTGCTGCGTGTTACCTGGGTATAACACTCAGCTCGAGAAGGTGCCTTGCTCTAAGAGCAATTCACACCCAGGTGGGAGCTGAGATGCTCTGCAGTGAGGATGCCCACCGAAGGGACACCTGGCAGTGCCTGGCAGACAGGGGACAGCATCTCACCTGCGCCCGGACCAGCGACTCGAAGCTGGGTTTGAAGTAATCGATGCGGCTGCTATAAAACTTGGGCATTTCCTCCAGGAGCTGCTTGTTTTTGGCTTCAAAGTCCTCCTTCACCGGCCTCAGCTCTTCACGGGCCTGGGAAAGGAGAGAGGATGGGGAGTCAGAAAACGCAGACCTGCAGAGAGGCCACCCCAGGCCAGCGGACTGCTCTGCTTTGACCCAAGGACAACCAGCAACCAGCTAAGGGAGCCTGGTGGGACCCAAGTGACCAGCTAAAGGAGACTGGTGGGACCCAAGTGACCAGATAACAGAGCCTGGCGGGACCCAAGTGACCAGATAACAGAGCCTGGTGGGATCCAAGTGACCAGCTAACGGAGCCTGTGGGACCCCTGTGATCATCCAATGGAGCCTGGTGGGACCCAACTGACCAGCTAATGGAGCCTGGTGGGACCCAAGTGACCAACTAACAGAGCCTGATGGGACCCAACTGACCAGCTATCGGACACTGGTGGGACCCAAGTGACCAGCTAACGGAGCCTGGTGGGACCCAAGTGACCAGCTAACGGAGCCTGGTGGGACCCAACTGACCACCTATCGGACACTGGTGGGACCCAAGTGACTAGCCAACGGAGACTGGTGGGACCCAAGCTCTGACTCTGGAAAGCCATGGGACACTTAGAGAGGCTGCTGCAGAGATCACTAGCCCGCCAGTCTTCTCCCCTTCAAAAGAACGGGGTCTCAGCCAGGCTGGAGAACATCCCCGGCCACGTCTGTGTCCCCACACCCTGAAATTCCCAAGAGCATCGCCAAAGGATCCTGCCCCCACCGTCATTTTCGCCCGTGACCTTCAGCTCAGCGCGTCCAACTGGCTTCTTTAAACAGAAGCGTGGGGAGAAAGGGAAATGTCTCTGAGATGGTGTGGAAAAGGGCAGGAGGGGGTGGGCTGTGAAATATTAGACCGGTTCAAGTCTGCCACTTAATCCCGGTGCCATTCCGACGGGAGGGGGATGCGGGAGAAAGCCGGCGAGCCGAGCCCAGCCGCGGCGCCGGTCCCGCTCCCTGGAACAACATGCCGGAGGGATGGCACGGACAAAGCCTTAAATCATATCAGGCTTAAGTAGGTCTGAGAGGCAAATGAGCAAATTCATCGTCTGCCGTGAAACAAGGAGCATTTAAACTCCCGGGGTGGAGTTCATGTGGGGCACCAAACAGCAGAAGACTTTGAGCAAACAGCTCTGAAGGGAAAATGCAAATTTGCAGCTCAGTAAAAATACCTGGGTGAGGTTATGCTATTTCCCATCAAATCTATGGCCCTCTCGGATGCCCCAGGTTCAGGATTGCTTAAGGCTCCTGCAGGCGTTTAAGCTCACGCAGCGGTTAGTTAAGATCTTTTGAGGGGGGGGGGAATTAGATCACACAGAAGTTCATTAAAGGAAAAAAAATTAAATAACTAAAACCTGCTTAATCACCAGGACAAAAGCATTCACATTTTTGCAGCCACAGCTTTAGTCACCGAGGCTAAGCGAAGTAAGCCGCTTACTATTAAATCGGAGGTGTCTTTTGTTAAGGCTGATAGGGCTATTCTTTAACACAAAACTTAATTTTTCTGGGGAAAGTCATCAGAAAATACATGTTCTTTGACACCGAGAAAGTCAACTGTTCCTTCAAGGATCAAGCAACGTTCTGCAGGAGCGACAGATTTAGGGATAAATGCTGGTGAATACTTAATTAAAAAAAAAATAATCATGATTTCGCTAAAATTTGGGAGAGAGAAAAGAATCTGGCAAAGCTTCCTGTTAACCAATTACTGCAATTTTCCAAGACGAATTTTTGTAACAGGTGGCAAACATAAAGCCTCAAAACGCTCTGATCTTCCCCTTTTCACATCCAGCTGCTTGCTCAGACGCGGAGGTCGGGGGAAACCCCCCGTGCATCGACTTCAAGCGCTGGCTGCTCCTCCGAGCATCCCCAGCTCCCGTGGCTTTTATTCCATTTTATTTTGGAAACCTGGCTCTTTCC